AAAACACCCCCGACAGATGGCCATCCAGCCTCTGTTTAAAAGCCTCCGAAGGAGCCTCCATCACACTTTGGGGCAGAGAGTTCCACTTCTGAACAGTTCTCACAGTTAGGAAGTTCTTCCTAACGTTCAGGTGGAATCTCCTTTCTTGTAGTTTGAAGCCATTGTTCCGCGTCCTAGTCTCCAGGGCTGCAGAAAACAAGCTTGCTCCCTCCTCCCTATGACTTCGCCTCACATATTTATCCATGGCTCTCATCATATCTCCTATCAGCCTTCTCTTCTTCAGGCTTAACATGCCCAGCTCTTTAAGCCGCTCTTCATAGGGTTTGTTCTCCAGACCCTTGATCATTTTAGTCGCCCTCCCTCCTCCATTCTTTCTGTGAAGCCCTCCTGGGGTGCAAACGTGTCCTGGGGGGGGGGGGCTTTGGCTGGGGGGCAGCCCCCTTAAAGGGGCCCCTGGCTGGAGGGCAGAGGGAGTGGCCCCGCCCACTTCCGGCTCGCCTTAAGGCTGGGGAACCCCGGGGATCTCTCCAGGCCTTTGGGCTTCTCTGCCAAAGAGGGCGACTGCCGCCTCGCCAAACTGCGACTCCTAACACTCCTAAGTATTGGTTAAGCTGGGGCCACATCGCATGCACTCCTCTGTGTAGATGCGTAACACGCAGCAGCCCCTTCTTCCCCAGAGCCATGATGTTTCCCCAAGCGATCAAGAGGGACGCCTCCACGCCCAAATCCCCCTCAAACCGCCTCTGCTTTCTGTGCCTAAAGGTCCCTCTGGTGAGAGTCTTAAAGGATGCTTCAGCCGCACTCAAAACGCCCCTCGGCCTTCCCCCAAAATGGATGCATCGATCTACATTGTAGAACGAATACAGTTTGATCCCAGTTTTAACTGCAGTGGCTCTGGAATCCTGGGATTGGTCCTGCCGCGCGGCACTCCTTGGCAGAGGAAGCTGAGAAAGGCCTTTTGCAAGCGACGACTCCCAGGATTCCAAACCATTGCGCCAAGGGCGGTTAAAGCGGGGTCAAACTGCGTTAACCCTGCAGTGTAGAGGCACAACAACAAGGAGAATGTCTGCCTCCGCCTCTCCCCCTTTTGGGGCACATTCAGGGGGCTGATAAATATGGCCTTTTCAAGCGAGAACTCCCAGGATTCCAAACCATTGCGCCATAGGTGGTTAAAGCGGGGTCAAACTGTGTTAACCCTGCAGTGTAGAGGCACCACAACAAGGGGAATGTCTGCCCCCGCCTCTCCACCTTTTGGGGCCCATTCAGGGGGCGGATGAAGCTGATAAATATGGCCTTTTCAAGCGAGGACTCACAGGATTCCAAACAATTGAGCCATAGGCGGTTAAAGCGGGGTCAAACTGAGTTAACCCAACAGTATAGACGCACCGCAACAAAGGGGAACGTCTGTCTCCCTTTCTCCTTCTTTTGGAAGAGGATGAGGCGCCCTTTTCGCCATGGCGCAGAGTCCCTTTGGCCTGGAAAACTCCCCCAATCCGAGGCCCCAAATACACTTATCACACTTGAGAATGAAACCACTTAAAATCCGGTTTCTGACTCCTACAGAATTCCGGGGTTTGTAGTTTAGTGAGGCTGTTCAAGGCTCCTCCCTAAACTACAAACCCCAGAATTCTGCAGGAAGCAGAAATCGGATTTAGTGTGGATTCATTCTCTAGTGTGATGAGGTCTTGAGTGGCGTTTCAAACCGGTATGGAAGAAAGTGTAGAGACGACTCCATAGGAGGAAAATCCTGGAACCAGTTTGACTGCCCGCCATGGGGAAGAAGACAGGAAAGAAGGAAGGAAGGAAGGAAGGCACAACCCAATGGAAAGAAGAGACCGCGCACCAAAGTATGGGCTTCCTACAAGAGAGAGAGAGAGAGCCAGACCCAAAGGGACTGGTGTGTGTGCGCGCGCAGGAAGGGCTTCCTTGCTCTCGCGGGTGGGAGCTTGTTCCCAGGCCGCCGCAGTTGGAAAGCGAGCTTGGATCCGCATTAAATATCCAGTGGAGACGGGGCTTTGGGGGAGGGAGAAGGCGGCTGCTCTGTGCTCACCTTCCAAGAGGCGCCCGATGATGGAGTCCAGGTTGAGCTTCTCGCCGTCCGACATGGCGGGAGAGGAGAGTCTCGGGGCTGAGACTGAGCCGGCCTTCCTGCCTTCTTTCTTTCCTTCCTTCCTTCCTTCCTTGCTGCTGTTTCCTGGGAAAGAGGGAGCGGCGGGGGAAAAGGCAAGGGCAAAGCTCTCCGTCCGCGCCTCCTTCTCGCCGAAGAGCCTCCGCCAAAAGCAGCCGAAGCGAGGGAAGAAGGAAAGAAGGAAGAGAAGGAGGGAGGAAGTGGAAAGGAGTGACGCTGCTGCTGCTCCTGCTGCTCCTGCTCCTGCTCCGCCAACCACCTCCTCCTACTGGCTGGAGGGAGCAAGGCTTTCCTGCGATTGCGCCAGCATTCTCTCTCTCCACTTCCTCCCAACACAAGGAAACAGAGACACAGGCAAACCTGGGCCCTCCAGGTGTTTTGGACTTCAACTCCCAGCCTTCCTCACAGCCTCAGGCCCCTTCCTTTCCCCCCTCAGCCGCTTAAGCGGCTGAGGGGGGAAAGGAAAGGGCCTGAGGCTGTGAGGAAGGCTGGGGGTTGAAGTCCAAAACACCTGGAGGGCCAACATTTACCTGCGCTTCATCTACACGGTGTAAAGAAATATAGGACCAGGCTGAGCACCACACCTGGCCCTGGGCCAGAAGGTTGCCAGCCCCATTTTGGAATGTGTTTTCAACCTGGATAGAGATGATTCACTCTGTGTGTCATTCAGAAACCATGTGGTTGTTGCAGGGCGCCTTTGAGTCAGCTGATGGGGACCCTAAGGCAAACCCATCATAGGAGTCATAGGAGTTGTGGTTTTGCAAGGTCTTCTGCTGTCTCTGCCTCACCAAACTCCCACCATTCCATAGCATTGTGGCATGGCGGTTAAAGTGGTGCCAAACTGCGTTCGTTCTACAGAGTAGATAAGTTGTTGTCAACCTTCCTAATGCCGTGGCCCCTTAATACACTTCCTGATGTTGTGGTGACCCTCAACCATAACATTATTTTTATTGCTAATAATAATAATAATAATATACTTGTTGTTGTTGTTCATTCGTTCAGTCATTTCCGACTCTTCGTGACTTCATGGACCAGTCCACGCCAGAGCTCCCTGTTGGCCGCCACCACCCACAGCTCCTTCAAGGTCAATCCAGTCACTTCAAGAATACCATCCATCCATCTTGCCCTTGGTCGGCCCCTCTTCCTTTTTCCTGGAATACTGTGTCCAATTCTGGGCACCACAACTGAAGGGAGATGTTGGCAAGCTGGAATGTATCCAGAGGAGGGCGACTAAAATGATCAAGGGTCTGGAGAACAAGCGATGGGGACTCGGAGCGGCTTACATGGGGCCAAGCCCAAACAAGAATTACAATATAACAATACAAATTGCAATCAAATAAACAACATAACAATAAAATATAAAACATCAAAGCATATAAAACAATATACACAAAACATAGGAACTAAGCATAATGACAGACAGACAAAGGGCGGGCCGCATGTACATAAAATGATTTAAAAACTCCGGGTGAGATAAGGGGGGAGAACTAATTGTAAGGGTGAACTCAGAGAGAAATAGGAAATTAAGCCAACATTCGTAGGGGGGGGGGGGACTCCTGAGATAAGAACATTGGAGGAGCGCTAGCATAAAATTATATGGCTACTCTTCAAAAGCGCAACGGCAGAGCCAGGTCTTAAGACTTTTTTTAAAGTTTCCAAGGTAGGGGCTTTCCTAATCTCTCCGGGCAGTGAATTCCAGAGCCACAGAGGAGAAGGCTCTCTCCCTTGTACCCACAAGGCGAGCCTGAGAGACTGGCAAGGGCAAAAGGAGAGCCTCCCCCGAAGCATCGAAAAGGGGGGGGGGGGGCTTGAGGGGCTTCAGCCCCCCCCCCCCCGAAATTCTCATGGTGGTTCGCAAAAAGGTGCATTATTTAAACTGTTATGTTTATTCATATCATTATCTGATCATCATGCTCAATATATCCCATATGCATGGGGGTATTGGGGTAACGATACAAAAGGTTTGCTAGGGTAGACCCTCTTTCACTCAGATTCAGCCCCCCCCCCCGAATCAAACTCAGCTCCCCCCCCCCCCGAATTGAAATCCTGGATACGGGCCTGGCCTTGCCCGAAGATCAAAGCGTACATAATACACTTCCTGATGTTGTGTTGACCCTCAACCATAACATTATTTTCATTGCTACTTCATAACTAATTTTGCTACTGTTATGAATCTATATAAATAAAAATGTAATGTTTGTTTGTGGGATTAACAGAACCCAAAAACCACTGCACGAATTGACACCACATTTGGACACAAGACACCTAACAACCCAATGTAGGTCCTTCACCCAAAAAAAATTGATTTTGTCATTTGGGCGTTGTAGTTGCTGGGGTTTATAGTAGCATCTTGAGACTGAGAGAAAAAGATGTTATTATCAGCTTTCATAGCCCAAATATATGTAGTAGATGTAGCTTTTTAAGGTTATGCTTCCAATGTCTTTCAGTCTCAAAGGTGCTAAGATATCTGTTTGCAAAGGGATATCTGGCTGATTCAGATGGGGTTTTTGATTGTTTCATGAAGTCTCCTTTTTCTGTCGTTGATTGCAGTTTTGTTGTTGTATTTGTTCTATTTACCAAGAAAATATAGTCCAAAATATAGTCCAAAACAGAAGGAAGAAGGGCAGAGGGCTAGATAGAAATCTAATGAGTAAATAATACCTACACCAAGGTCGTGCTCCAGAAGGATGATACAGAGTGCAGCTTGTGCCGATGGGAAGAGATGGGAAGAGATGACACCATCTACCTGTTGATTCTTCCCCAGCACCTGTGAACTCAGAGACAACATCTGGTGGGGTCTCCTTGTGTGCAACCCCTTCTGGAAAGCATTGTGGGTAGTTATCCTGTGTTTTCTTTTTGGGGAGTTGTTTTCTGCTCTCTTCTACTGTGTCATGCTCCCCACCCCCTTTGCTTTCTTTACTACTACCGTCCCTTGCATCAGGAAATGGTTGCGGGAGGAAATGGCTTGCAGAGCGTGTGGGGAACTCAGTCACAGCAGCAGCAACAAGGGGCATAGTCATGGGTGCAAGGTATTGCTCGGCTCAGAGGTAATGCCCAGGCCTCAGCAGGTGGCATGAAATAAAGGACCTGTCAGTGGTAAGGTCTACAAGTACGATTTGAAGGGGAAGATGTCAGACTCCTCTCTTTCAGCAGAGCTTCTTGAGGACAATGTAAACCAAGCCGTGGCTGGACTATCAGATGCTTTTGATTTCTCCCTGCGGGACGATGCAAGCTCCCTGGGCTCTGATTCTGAGCTGAATGGGATGCCTCCTTATCGCCAGACAGATCGCTTTGGCTTTATTGGGGGCAGCAGCCTCCAAAATGGGTAAGAGAGAAACTTGGGGAAATTAATATTTTGGGCTATGTTTCCCAGATTTGGAAAGTTGTGGTCCAAGCTCTGAGGGCCTCTATTGCTCTCCCCCCCGCCCCGCCACTCTCAGTTTCCATGGGCTTCTATTGCAAAGACTATTGGGATGGGAGGAGTGTGTGGCTATGATGTGCACAAGACATAGCACTTGAGACGAAAAAGCTAGTGAATACCTTCTCCCTGCTACAGGTTGATTGTATAGTTCAGACATGGGCAAACTTCACCCCTCCAGGTGTTTTGGATTTCAACTCCTACTATTCGTAACAGCCTACCAGCTGTTAGGAATTATAGAAGTTGAACTCCAAAACACCTGGAGGGCCAAAGTTTGTCCATGCCTGGTATAGTTGCATCCATCTTCTGTTTTTGGAACTGACAATGACTTAAGAAAGAGTTAGTTCTTCCATTAGAGTTCTTCAATCACTGTCCCTAATGAGATTTCATCCAAACAATTTAGACTATAACATCCATAAACTCCAGCCAGCAAGTTGGTGGTCAGTGATAATAAGATTGGGACCCAAAACAATTGCAGGATATATGGTAGACCTGACCTTGTGCTTAACCAAAGCCACGTTTCTAACAGAGATGCCAGCTTTATAATGGTTTTTATAATGATAACGTTAGGAAAGAGGGGTGCTAAAAAGAAGTGACACAACCCATAGGCTTCATATATTAAGCTCCAGGAATTGCTTTAGGACTGTGTTAACTTTACACCTTTGTTTTTGTTAAATGTTAAGTTGGATTTGACTGGCAATTCTACAAATCAGAACCCTACAAGACACTTTGTCATTATTACTCTGCACAAGTCCTGCAAACTCAGGACTTATTTAACGAAGGGTGCATATACACTGCAGAATGAATGCAATTTGATGCCACTTTAATAGCCATGGCTCAATGCTATGGATTCCTGGCATTCGTAGTTTGGTTAGGGACCAGCACTATTTGGCAGAGAAGGTTGAAGACCTCATCAAACTACAGTTCCCTTTACTCCATAGCACTGAGCTTTGGCAGTTAAAGTGGTGTCTAAATGCATTAATTCTACAGTGTAGATACACCCTGAGTCTATGCACTTGCAATGCAGTCTTCCTCTTTTCCTAGTACTCCCCATTTTAGTAAGAATTGTTATAAGGCTTGATTTGTTCTCAAAGCCATTTATTCAAAATATTGTGTCATGAATTTTGGTGTTAACTGATATTTCATCACATCTGAAGATCTTATCTAGTGCTTCGTGGATACCCTCCCAAGACCTAGTGTTCATAAAATAAATAAGTGAAAACTAGTCAGTGAAGCATTTTCACATATAGGCTCAAAAGTCAGAAATGTGACAGATAAAGATTTATTGCTTGACAGAATTCATATTTTCTTGTCACAATAGCATTCAATGATTCAAGTAGCTGTAGGAAGGAGCATTCTGGTTCTGTGAAAAGCCTGTCCCTCCCTTTCTCATTTGAATATAACACTTTTGGGTTTTCTGTACCCTTGGATATAGTATAATACAAGAACTTTTGCAGCAGCATTACGTGTGTGTGCATGCGCACACGCACACACACGCACACACACACACATTCAAATGCTAGATTGCTTCCATAGTTCTTATATCACTCAGTTCTTAACAGAGATACAAAGGCTGGGTAGGCTGAGATGAGAATGGGACCCAAGATGAAGATTCGGCTCTGCAAGACAGAAGGAGAGAGGTTCACAGAAAGCGCCTTTGCCTACCTACTAGCTAACTCTTCCTGTTTCAGCAATCCCACGCAACCACATCCTCTCACGGTGTCTATGGTAACAGATGCACCATAGCAACAGGGGTGGTAGTTGCCGTGATTAGAGACAACATTTTTTTTACTCTTCTGCCTACATAACATGGAAACACGCAACAGATTAAAATGTAGCCTTACCAATCCCCATCATGTTTACATCTACACGTTGTAAATCCAATTTTGCACTATGGCTCTTGCAGCTTTACCAAAAGTACTGTAGAAACTGTAGTTTACTGTGATTCCTTGGTGCCTTGGCCCCTGCTTCTTGTGGAAGCACAGTCCTGGGTTTCTCTGGGGAAAAGAGATTGTGGACTGAGTCAACGAAAAGCTGTGGTGTGTGGGTAGTCCATGGCACGAAGAGACAAAACATATTGCAAGCTACCTTGCATGCTTTAGGGGATCTAGACCAGAACTTGGGAAAGTTACTATTTTGGACTGCAGTTCCCAGAACTCCTCTGCCTGCATGGGCATTTTCTATAGTGGGTGAACGTTTTGGAAGTTCCAATCCAAAACAAAACAATGCCAAGCTGTGCTCTGAACTTGTTTGTGAATTAGAGACAGAAATCTTCACAGTGAAATCTACAGGTTTGATCTAGTATCACTTTATTGGGAATGCAAAGTGTTAGATTGCAATGTATTGTCGAAGGCTTTCATGGCTGGAATCACTGGGTTGTAGGTTTTGTGGGCTCTGTGACCATGTTCTAGAAGCATTCTCTTCTGACATTTCACCTGCATCTATGGCAAGCATCTATGGCAAGAGACGTCACTACTACTGAGGATGCTTGCCATAAATGCAGACGAAACGTCAGGAGAGAATGCTTCTAGAACATTGCCATATAGCCTGAAAAACCTACAACAACCCACTGTTAGATTTCAACTGCCCTATGTATTTAAACTCATCACACACCATCCCTAATCAGTGTTGACTTCAGGAGCAGATTGCAAGTTTTCAAAAAATACAGTAATGCATTAATTCATGCATGAAATAAATAAATGAGGACAGATGGTAAAAGATCATAGGATGGTACATTCAGAGATAAGAGGTGTTTTTTATTTACTTGAAAGTCACTCTAAATGAGACCAACATGAGTTCCAAATGAGCCTCCTTGGTTATTTTGTAAATAGGGCCGCTATAGCCAACTAAAACATCCCTTTTGGTTCTACCCACAAGGAAGGCATGTAGAGAAGGGCCATTTATTGTCATCAGTAAATCAGGCCAGTCTGACAAGGAGTCTGGGGCAAAACTTGGAAACATGGCTTTTTTGAAAGATAATTCTGATAATTCCTTGGCTATGGTTCCATAGGAATTTGAAGACTTGGATGTTTAAACAAGCCTTTGAGTATGTCTAGCCCCAATGGTTTGCAATTAATGATGCAGCACTGCACTTTCATCCCATGCCCTTGTTCCTTAGCTACAATTTGCAGTATCGCATTCCCTTGTCTTGTTTACACTTTGGCCATGTCTTATGGCAGTTGTCATCGTAGGTTATTGGGCATTGTTCTGAGTTTTAAATTGTTGTTTTATGTGCTATTGGTTTAACTTTTTGTATTGAACTGTGCGTTTATTTTATGAGTTGCTTTTAGGCATCTTGTGTCATATGTAAGCCTCCCCAAGTCCCTTCAGGGAAATGGAGGCGGGGTACAAAAATAAAGTTGTTGTTATTATTGTTGTTGTTGTTAGGCTGGTGGCCATGTTGTCTGGGGATTTTGGGAAATGTAGTCAAAAAGAATTTTTCCAGGACCCAAAACATAGGGAGAATCGTCACAGACATCCAAGAAACTATCTGCTCAATAGCCATCAGCTCAACTTCCAATTAAAAAGTAACATTATCAGCAACATTGTAACCTGATAAATAAATCATAAGTAACATTATTGCTTGAAACACTTCCAAACTCTGGAGTCCTACTTGGCAAAGTGTTAGAAGAAAGTACCCTGGAAGAGAAAGAACGGGAAACGATTGTCTCCTAAGACAGTTCAAAGAGAAGTCTTCAACCTTGTTGTTATCTCTCCCACGTGCAGCTTAGGCCAAGTCTCTGTTGAGATCATCCGGCACCGAGAGACCAAATGGCTGGAGATGACAACACACTGGGAGAAAACCATGTCCCGGCGCTACAGAAAAGTCAGTAAGGCTCAGAGATTATTTCCATAACTAGCCAATTTGCTGTACTCTGGAGCATGGATCACATTATGATCCCATTATGATTATAAAACGGCTTTAAAAAGAGCTGCTTTTTACCTATGTATATCCATCTGTCTCCCCCCCCCCCTCCACTTTCTCTCTTACACAGACATACACACATAACTCCAGCAGTTCAGCAGTGTGCATTGTATGACAGCTAATCTGTGTGATAATTTGTGGCTTAGTTGCATCCTTCCCTCCATCCCATCCTCCCTCCTTCCCTTCCATCTGTGCCTGCTGATGGCATCCATGCCAGTGGGGCAGTGATTTTGCTTTGAGTTTTACTCTGAATTTTAAAGGAACAATCCAAGGTGCTGAATCAATTTTGATTATTGGGTTCAACTCTCTGGACAACTCCTTTAAAGTTCAGGCTGAAACTTGAAACAGATTTTCCATCCTACTGACATGGAAATCACCAGCCCCTATAGCTCCCTCCCTCCTTTCCAGAAGTATACTTTTGCAGCTTGTCCCAGTCAGTAGCATAGCAGCTGTATTTTGATATAAACTAGGTACAACATATTCTAAGGTGTCAACATGAAGTTTGCTGTGGTTGAGTGCTGGCTATCCTGGGATTTTCTTGGCAAGATGTGGGTTTGCCTTTGCCGTCCTACTGGAGCATAATTATAATCATGGCCAAATTGTCTCCTCTGTCAAGAAGGTAGTGAAACTGGCATATATGGCTCAGCTAAACTAAAAGTAGGCTGTGTCATAGATGACACATGGGCATTCAGTGGCCATACAGGCATTATAAGCACCACTGCACTGTAAACCTCACCAGTTTGGCCAGGGATGGGAAGCATGAGGCCTCCAGATGGTGCAAGACTACAATTCCCAGCATTCTACACCATTGACTGTGCTGGGTCAGGTTGCTAGGATTTGCAGTCTAGTTGAATGGAAGGGCTAAACAAATCCTGCCCCTACTTCCCTACTTTACAGAGAGAGTAATGCCACACAAAACAAGCTGAATACCACTTCCCTGGTTTGAGGTCACATTGTGTTGTTTTTCTGGTCAGGGCTGGCCTTCCATTTATTGGTCTAATCCTGCCCATTACTGTTCCTGTTAACCACTTCTGCATTTCGACAGCTTCAGATCCTATAATGGAGAAACAAAACCGGGCCATCAGCATACTGACAACACTTCTGCTCAGTGGTTTAATGTGGACTTTAAAAGACATGGGGAAAAAGATGGAGCTATCACATTTGTTTGTAGCCCAAACGTTGGCTGCCTTTGTGTTCATTGGGAAACTTTTTGTGATGGGAATATATGTAAGTTCAATGTTTTGTTGATAAGATTTGTTGTGTCAGGTAAAACTGCAGTGCCGAAAGGGGATCCCTTCATCTGTACGTGCCCGCTGTTGGCCTTTGTTGTGTGGAGGGCAGGCCAAAATGGAAAGGAACCCTGGAAAGTACCAGGTGAGGTCATATTTCATATATTTTTACACACCGATTATTATTTACACAATTTGTTATTTCAGCTTCTGGCTCTCTCCTGTTTAGCTAAGCACTTTCCCAATAAAGCTTCATTCCTTTTAGTTTTTTTATTTTGCGGTCCACTACCATGATCTTCTTAATTGGAGTTCCCTTTATAGCTGATGTTTTTCATATTTCACATTATCGTTGCATGACTGCCCTGTGAAAATGCATTCACCCAGCCCACAAAATGGTAATTGCTCATCCATTTACTGAAGAATACTGTGCAGTAAAATTGTATGGAAACTTATTTGGGTGTTTATACGCCTGATTTAATTCAGAGGAATTTGCTTAAGTGAACATGCAAGAGATGAAGCCTGTGTACTATATTGACCAGAAGAAAACCATGGTCTTCCTTTTTATATATTCCTCCGTGTATAGCTATTTCAGAATAAAGCACTTCCAAGATAACTTTAAAATGCAACTAAAGACAAATCTTGAAGCAAGCACAAAACAGACATATAAATTGAAAACAGCAGCAGATGAAAAGGCTAGCACAACAATTATGATAACATGTCGCATGAAACAAAACATTTGTAAAGGTCTGTGATGCAGAAAAGAGTTCTTGAGACACAAGGGCCCCTTCCACACAGCTGTATAAAATCCATATTGAACTGGATTATATGGTAGTGTGGACTCAAATAACCAAATTCAAAGCAGATATTGTGGATTATCTGCCTTAATATTCTGGGTTATATGGCTGAGTGGAAGAGCCTGTGGACTCCAATGAAAATGTATGATTACTGAGGTAGATTGGAAGGGGAAATGGGTGCAATCTCTCCTGAATCAGCAGGTCTCCTCCATACGCCACCTCAAACATGTTTTGTTGTTCTTGCAGGAACTGTGTGAGGGACCTGGTGATCCTCAGTGGGTGGAGACCATCACAAAGGACATTCACCGACAGTTTCCTTTTCACGAGATGTTCCTCTCCCCTGAGGGGCCTGGGTGAGCAAGGGCTGATGGGCTTGGATAAAGAGGCAGGTTGGTTTCTGAAGAGACTCCCATGGAGTTTGGGAGTCATCGGAATTAAGTAGTCGTCCTTCCGGCAGATCATGTTGAAAGACATTGTCTTTCATATAACATTACTGCCATTGTATGCCCTTTGAAAGGAAAGGATAAAGTTGGAGTAGCCACAAGCAGGAATGTGTCCAGGGAAGGGTGATCAAAATGACCAAAGTTTCGGAAACTAAGCTTATGACAAATGGCTTAGGGAGCTGGGTATGTTTAGCATAGAGAAAAGAAGGTTGAGAGGGTAAATGATAACTATGCCTTTGACAGAAAACAACACACAAACATACATGCACTTTTCCTGTATTCCATACCCTCTAACATTTCACAGATGAAAACATGCATCCAAGCAACATCTAAGTGTGAATCACGATAGCAAAAGTTGGTGAACCACTCTCCTAGAGAGTATGATTTGCTGCTTGGGCATGTTTTGAGCCTCTGCCCCAAATACCTTGGAAGTGGAAGACACTTAATACGGGGAAGAGATGTGTAGTTACATCCCTTTGAAATTCTATGAAGATAAATGTGACCTCAAGGCCTCTGGAAGCTGCCCACTCTGATGTAAATGATGGAGAAAGTAGATTGCCCTCAAATGTCACTGGAATAACATGCTACTTATGCAGTGTAGTTGGCACCCCACAGGAATCCTGGAGGCAGAAACAAGTTAAATAACTATGGTAGCCCCTTATTTGTGATGGATTTATTCCAAGTCTCCTAGAAGAGGTTTGAAACCACCATGGATAGTACGAAACCCTATATATACTATGTTTTTCTCCCTGTGCATACATATCCATGATCTACTTAACTAACAGATGTATAGCATATACACAGCTGGCCCTCCACATTTGTGAGTTTGATTTTTGTGGATTTGATTACTCGTGGATTTGATTAGAGTCTCCCTAAGAATCTCTGGGTCCTTTGGTGCAATTCAAGTGGACGTTGCCCATATAATCATGTTGGAGGACTTAGAGAGCCCTAGAGAAAAGATTGGGTAGGAAAAATAGCAGTTTTTTAAAATTTGCATTTTCCCCACTTTCCTAAGGGTCCTGTGGCCCTAATCCCAGAAAATGTGGAGGACTGGCTGTATTCTTGTCCTAGGACGAATGGCGCTAAATTTCACCACACCACTCAGAACAGGGCACAGCTGAAAACTTGTTTATTTCTGGAATTTTTCATTTCATATTTTTGTACCATCATTTATCACAAGAAACTGAAATTTCAGAAATCAAAACTGAAGGTAATGGAAATTAGTTTGTGCTTTCACTCTATAGCTGGAAAGTGGAAAACAACAGCAGCAGACCCCTGCCCCCCCCAAAAAAAACAACTATATACAAAAATAAATATCCCTACAGCCTGTGCTACCTAGTACACAATACCAAAACTGCTACAACCAGATTGTGTAAATATTTCTTTGGCTTCTCTCACAGCCTCTGAACCTACTTCCCCTTGATATACAGTACTGGCATTTGAAGGGAGGCAGGGGAAGGTCACCCGCTGGAAGTGCCAAAGTTTGCAATTCTGCTTCTTCCGCTTTCTACCCAGTCTGCCAAGTACAGGAAGTGACACAACAGACCCAGTCTAATAAACAACATGTCATCTCCTTTTTGTTTCTTTTCCTCTAGAGGGAGCCAAGGCACTTTAATCCTTACACCTTTTTACAATAGATGTATACAATACTCATATTAATAATGCATTATATGCCTGATATATAATATATGTGTCAGTGATCCATGTAAATTTGTTTGACTGGTTGGTTGGCTGTTTTCTAGATTGTTTCTTTGGCTGTTATTTAACAATGCTTTTGATTGATTTACTAAGGGTACAATCTGATACCATATTTTCCAGGAGTAAAAGGATTTGAACTTCACAGATCATATTCCTGAGTAGATACACATTCTGGAAATTGGTTGAATAGGAAAAGAGAACTAAATCACTGCTGGAAATCCTTCCAAATGTTATTGAACTGCAAGCTCCAACAATTCTCACTATGTTTGCTAGGGCTGGTGGGAGGTGCAGTGCAACCACATCTGGAGAGCCACACAGTTCCTTCCCATGGCCTAAATCCAATTGCTAATGCCACTTTGGACAGATTCAATGCTGAATGAAAAGTAAACATGCATGTAAATCCCATTCTATTGGGTTATGCTATGTCTGGATTTAGACCATAGGGGGACGGGAAGCTGCCCGACAGCAGCAGCTCCTCGGGATCTCATTAAGTCTTTGTCACTACCTTCTACCTAATAGTTTTATCTGGTGATGCCAAGGTTGACCCTGGCCCCTCTGGTGCAAAACAGGTGTTCAGATACTGAATGTCCATGAACATGGGAAACAATCATACCACTAGGGCCATGCGCAGAAAGCCCACACCTTTTCTCTGCCCTCATCAGGGTTGCGCTTTCCCAAAACATCCATGGCAAATTGGGGCAGGGACTGGGAAGGAATTCCTTTGGCAGTTTAGTCCCATGGGAGTTGGATTCTAAGGAATGGAGGGGATATAAACCCACTTAATTACTACAAAGTTAACAGTAAGGCATGGTTTGGGCTAAGGAATTCCCCACTCCTAAAAAAATCTTGGTTGCCTTGGTCTTCTTAAATGTAAACACTGTACCTGGTAGTTCTTCCTATATCAGCCTCTCCATAACATTTTCTGCTCAGGTCCTTTTAAAGGGGTCTACCTTATTGGGAGAGGCCCTTCTCAGTGGTAGCATCCCATCTTTGGAATGGAATTATGTTGAATAATGTAAAGACTTAAGTGCCAGGTTCAGAATTCTTTGCTAATCTAAACATATTAATCAAATCCCTTAGTTTGCTTTCTAATTTTATCTACTGCTTATCTGCTTTCTCATCCTGCACTAAGTGTTTGACAATTAGTTATTTTTATTCTTTTGCTCTATCCTGGGATTTAATTTTTATCAAGGTTGAAATTAATTAAAATGTTTTAACTAAAAATGAATGGTGGCAGTCAGAGATCCTTGTGGGATATTGAGAGTCCTACTATCTTTTTCTGACCAATACATCCTACTATCTTTTTCTGACCAATACATTGAACAGATCCTTCCATGCTTTTGTGCAACTGCAAGATACCAAAGTGAAACAAAGCATCATCTGAAATGTTCCTTTTGGGTTGGTAGTACACTGCCAGGAGTTCAGCAAGCAAAGAACACCCATAGCCTTCAACTTTCAGAGTTGGCAGAGCCCGTCTTTTTTAATCCTCTGCTGTCTTGCCTTTTTCAGCTGCTTTTAAAATGTCACAGTTCTCAATCTCTTCTTCCTCCTCCTCGCATTTCCCCCCTCTCTCTTCCTCCTAGATTACTAGATTAGCTGCAAAACTGAGTTCAAATCACAAAAGTAATTCACACTGGATTGACTGAACAGACAAGAATATTCTCCTTCCCAGACAGTTCAGGCAAAAGCAAATTGCTGCAGACCAAGCACTGTGTGTTCTTCCTCCATAATAACATTTGCTATCTTGACCATACTCTGAAATTGCTTAACTCAAGTTTAATCTGTGAAATTTTGGAAACTTACAAAGTCCTATTCAGAATAGTGTGGTAGATACCCTGACACAATAAACAAACGAGTGACCCAAATTCTGCCTAGTGAATGTAAATGATACATGTAAATTATATATGTGCAGACCAGGTGCTGTAGGCTGTATTTCAGAGAAGGGAACTGAGAAAACCACTTCTAAATCTTCTTTGGCCAAGAAAACCCGACAAACTTCATGGGGTCACCATAAGTTTACAGACAACTTCGAGGCATATACACACATATTTACTACCTTTGTACAAATCATTCTCTTTCAAGCTATTAAAAGATTTTGGAATAATCTAGCAAAAATTGGGTTGCAAAAGATTTTAAAGAATTGGAGGCCAAAAGGAGAAATGAAAAGCAGTAAAGCAAAAGAGCCGCAGCCAAAGCAAGTCATTACAAGGGCAGCACACATCCCTCATTCTCAGTTTTAAGTGTTCTTAAAACCGTATTTATTTTTTAATCTTCAGCATAGAAAATACACATTGAGACATCACTCATGAGCTTAAGAGCTAACACCTTTTGTGACATTTTTAAGATGCTTAATTTTCAAGTAGTTGCTTTGTAGTTTGTACTGTAACCTCACAGATATTTGGGATGTACACAATTATGGTAAAGCAAAAAAAAGGCATTCAAGCAGGAAATAAGAAGACAGACTGGAATATTTTAAGACACTGAAGAAGAAGCTTATGTTTGCTGGTGAGGCAAGGTCACACTTTGGGTCAAATAGAGGACACAAAAAAAAGAATATAATAGGGTTGCTGTTGTTTGATGTATGGTGGAGCCTTAGACAAGGACGTGTCTATTCTGGTGAGGCTGTAAAACCCTGTTCCTTTGCTTATTTGCAGGCAGCAAGGGCTTCTGCAGGTGATGAAGGCCTACACTGTCTATCGTCCCCAGGAAGGTTACTGTCAGGCCCAAGGGCCACTGGGTGCCCTACTACTTATGCACATGCCCCCAGAGGTGAGTCTCATGCCTTTCTCTCAAGAACTCTATAGGTGTTATTATTCCTCCTTTTTACAAAACAATACCCCAGTTTTCATCTTTCTTACCAGTCAGTATTGGTTCACACTAAATCAAGCAATGGGGCAACTTCAGTAGGTTTCCAGACTAATTTTTTTCCAGTCACTGGGACCCACAGAGGGCTAAAACTGAACTTAAAATTCCCCGTTAAAATTAAAAGTGTCTGTAAATCCACTTCTGTATTTGAAAAAAATGGTATTATTCTATGCTTAATAGTTTGGGGGGGGGGGCGGTGGCGGTCTATGTCCTATTTAAACGGTTGTTGTTTGATTTTGCTAGAATAGGTGCATGTAAGGGAGATTTTGCCCAACATAATCTCGGTTGTACTGTATAGTTTGTGTCTTCTCTGTTTGCCTACAAGTTTAACTGACAGTGCCTAATTTGTCCTTCGCAGCAAGCCTTCTGGTGTCTGGTGCAGATCTGTGAGCACTACCTGCCTGGCTACTACAGCCCCAAAATGGTGAGAGATTCAGAGGAGGAGGAAAATTCCCCCTTTGACACAAAAACTGGGTAGCTGTTTTATTGATGTATGAGGAGTGTAGTCAAGGACATTTGACCCTGAAGAAGAGGGTGTACAGCATTCCCTAAACCAGCCCTCAATATCAATTGTGTATAGTTCCCATCAACCTCCTCCCAGAAGGCCAATGACTGCTTGTTAGAAAGGTTATAGTCCTACACGTATGGAAGGGTCCGGGTTTGGGAAAGCTGCCTTAAACCAGTCCTTTGAAGAAAGTTGTCAGATAATGGCAGGGAAGAGAACAATTTCAGATGATGGAGGGATGGGATTAGCTGGGAGGTGAGGGAGATAAGGCTTGTGTGCTTTATAAACAAGTGCAAGAAAAGGCAGAAATTCAGGTGGTTTGGTGGATGCCAGGGTCCACACACTGCCAACCCCAGAAAACCTTCTGATAGGTTTGCCTTATACCTTTGAGATGACATTAAGGAACACAACGACAAACCTTTCATCAGCATGGATAAGGGATGAAGCATCTCCTCTTGCATCTCTGTCTATATTGTTCATTCTAAAGGACATGGGAAGGGGATGGACTACCTTTGAGGATGTACAAAAACCATATTGTTTACTGAAACTGTTTCTTCCCTTCTGCAGGAGGCCCTGCTGCTGGACAGTGAGGTGTTTGTGGCCCTCCTTCGCCGCCTGTGCCCCAAGGCCTGCAAGCACTTGCAGAAGCATGGGGTGGACCCCTTCCTCTACCTGCCAGAGTGGTTCCTCTGCCTCTTCACCCGTACTCTGCCCTTCCCTGTTGTCCTCAGGATATGGGATGCCTTCCTCAGTGAGGGTGAGTCTTAGCCTGCATTAAAGCAGGAAACCAGGCGCTCAAGACAAATCATTGCTGGAATGCTTTTGGAGACATGGGAGAGGAGGAATAGGAAGGAAACGAGTAGAACGAAAAAGTGCCTTTATTTGAAGAAGTGGTTCCTGTGGGTGGAGTGTTATTTTCCAAACAGCCTCTTCTGTTGGAAAGAGGATGAGGAAGAAATAAACACTGGAATGGGTGGTGGGGTTATATGGAAAGGGTAATCACACTAAGCAGAAGGTTCTTGTAGACCAAGGGAGGAGTGCATATGGCCTGCCAGATGGTGTTGGTCCTAGCCAACAGAGCCATGGTGAGGAATGATGAGTGTTTCAATCCAACAACACCCAGGGACACATGTTCTCCAACTCAGCTTTCAGCACTCGTTTTTGGCATTAAATCATATGGATACTTGAAATAAGTAAATAGATTTACAGTTAAAATTAAATATAATTATAGGAAAACACAACATTTTCTGGGCTTTCGTTAAGCTTCTAACAGCTCAGCAATTAACCATTATAGTAGATGTTTAAGAAACTGTGCAATTTAATAAAACACTAATTCTTCTTCCTTAAAGCAGCCATAATATCAAGGATTCATATTAAAGATAGGATGTAACTCAATTTTTGCTCTTTGATTAACCAGGCTGTAATTCCATACCTCTCCATTCAGTATCACACATTATTGCTGTAAAGTAAGTTTTATAGGTTGTAGCTGATGCAACAGATGTTATATAGCAGGGAAGCATTCCAGTTCTTTTGCTGATGGGTCACAGCCAATGGTAGAACCCACCGTAACAGTAGTCAAATTTCCCATTACTGGTTAAATGGGACCCCTGAACAGGAACAAACTCTATCCAGAGGAAGTCCAAGAGAAAAAATATATATAGTGCTAAAACAAGTAAAGAAACAAAGTTCATGTGTATGATCTATTTCTTGACTCCATAACAAGCAGGTTGATTATGGAAAATTAATTCCCCCAGTCCATTCTCAGCATTCATATCTTTTCCCAATTTCAGACTGATGAGCTAATGTAAAAATACAAAATAATGCTTTCTGTGCTACTGCACTGCTGTTCACATTTTGTCATGATGCTAACAAGGACTCCACAACCCATCTGTCTGGTGGCAGAAACCCAACACACTTCAAGTAGCATTTCCATTGGTAAGGTAACAAGCCGGTTCTTGAAGTAATCAGGTAGAACTCCATACATATTCATTGTAAGGAGAATTCCACACATTCTCTTTCTGGACTGCAATAATAAGTGTTAAGCTTTTGTGCGGACAGAATAAAATAACTACTTTATTTTGTAAAGTAATATTTCTTGATTGTTATCCATAAAAAGGATCATTTCTCAGTGGGAACATATCATAAATACACAAGATTTAGTTATATGCAATAGATTCCAGGTACATTTGTATCATCTCTACCTAAAAGACTTGGATAACAACTCTGGAGAGCTGCTCCTACCAGTCAACAGACAATAATATTGAGCTAGAAGGAAATATAATGTGATGGCTGGTGTAAGGTTGCGTCCTATGGTCTTTTCATACTTTAATCTGTGTTCCTGGTGTGCCTTCTGCAGGGGTCAAGGTACTGTTTCGTGTGGGGCTATTGTTAATCCGCTTGGCCCTGGGGTCCTCAGAGAAACTGCGTGGATGTGCAGGAGTAGTAGAGACCCTGGAGAAGCTGCGCAGCATCCCAGCTCACCTTTTGCAAGAAGATGCATTCATGGCTGAGGTAAAAAGGACTGAAAGGCCTGATTCCATCTCCACATATATTGGTTGCTTCTGATTGCCTGTAACACAGTTACTTGATTGCAAACTACTGTCATGTTTTCACACACTTTCACTTGATTGATGCAACAAGTAATGAGCAGTGCAGCAGGTTTCGTGTGGGACAAAGTTACAGCACTGCAGTGAGTAACAGCAATGGGTCACTTTTCAAACACTGCAAAAAGTAATTGGAATTAATTGCATTTAAAAAGTAAATTCTGGCCACTGGGGGTCAGAGAAGTCTTGCTGATCTCAAAATCTACCAGTAGATTAGCATATATCTTCTACTCGCTTCAGCCTTACATCCTGCTTTTTTTTACTGGCCTTTTTTCCCTGTTCCTTCTTTGCAACCCAGTCTTGATTCTGATACAGACAACCCTCCATATTTGTGGGTTTGAATTTTACAGATGCAATTAATATGGACTCTCTAGGAATTTCTAGGTCCCCCGGTGTGACTTCATGGTCAGCTTCCACCAAAGTTTGACCACATATTTGTGCTGGGGGACCTGGAGATTCCTAGAAAGAACATAGGAATCATATTCAAGAATAATCAAATCTGCAAAAGTCAAACCTGCAAATCTGAAGGGGTAAGTGTAGTCTGTAATTTTGTAAGCAGCCTGGAAGAAAGGTGGGATATAATAAAGGGATGGATTGATAGCTTGTGAACATTATGTGGCAGTGAGGTGGGGAGGTATATTCTTTGCTGATACCAACTCATCCTCAGCCTGCCATCCAGAAGGATAGTCGGTATGGTGAGGATCCTATTGGGATCAGGGACAGAGAAGCTAGCAGAGGAGTCGTTGGTCACCTTCTGTAACAAATGTGCTAAACACTTCAAAGAAGCAACCACTCCTATTTTCTAAAGATCTGACACCATAGTTATTGCAAAGTCTGGGGTGATTTTTTATTTGTGTTTTTCCACTTTTGCAAGAGTCCTGAGCTCCAAACACAAGAGAATTTGGAAGGCTGGTTGTTCTTTCCTTAGCACTGAAGATTTACAGACTATTCTACTGGAAGTACCTCTAATTTTACACCAATGTCCTCAGTTCCTAATTTTTTCAGTGTTACAGATTTGACCCCTCTTTCTGCTTTCTTCCTATATGGCAGGTTCATGATGTGCCCGTCTCAGATCGTGATCTGGAACGTGAATGTAAAGCCCAACTGGTAAAGCTACGTAAAACCCGGCCTGAATTCCAGTACAACCCAGAGTATCGACTCCCTGGTTCAAAAGCCATCTTTGATGCCCATCAACTGGAGGAGGCAACTAAAGGCACAGAAGCCAACCACAGCCAGACCCATACTTTCTACATCCCTCAGATCAAAGTGGACCCTCCTCCTTTATCCCCCAAAGGACACAAGCAGCTGGAAAAGGCTTCTGAACTGCAGGGCCAGAATAAGCGGCAGACAAGGAAGAAGCCAGACACACGTGGAAAGACCTTCCATGTCACTGGGCAGCCAGCTGTCAGAAGAGAAGAAAGGATGGACCCAAAGGGGAAGTCTTCTTTCTACTTGGAGACCTGGTTCTGAACTGAGTCACTGTGGTGGAATAGGGACTCTCACCAGTCACTGAGTCCACTTTTTTAATGTGTGGGGGAATCTGTTCATAGGGAGCATGAGATGCTTGACCTTAGAACTCATTTCTTGAAAAAAGAGACAATAAGGTTCAACACTTTTCATTTTGTAAGCCATCCGTCTCCTTTAGGTCTAAGTACTTGAAGTATTGGGGAGATAGAAACAGAGAACCCCATCTTTGGTATCTTTTATGGCATCAGGCGTATGCAAATCTAGCCCTACAGGTTTTAAAGAAGTCCTCAAACACCCTGTGAAGAACATTTTCTAGTATTAACAAACCCTCAACTCAGGTCAAGATGCACAGAACTCAAAACCATGGGGCAGAGCATCTGCAAATCACCTCTCCCAAGTAAAACAACAAGAGCAAGAACAAAATGACCCTTTTGCAGCATCCACAATCTGTTGCCTGAGGCTGCCACTTCATTCTCCTTAATGGTAGGACTAATTCTACAGACTTCTTTTACCTTTTGAATATGATATGGCCAAAACTGGTGAGGGTCAAAAGGTGGAAGATGTGAATTTCATTCTCAGGCTGTCCATGTTTTCACCATATAATTCACGATGACTGATATATGAGACTTCTTTTAGTGGGAAAAACATATTCTGGGCTTCCTCAGGGGCTATACTTATCCTAACTTACAAGTATCCAACCTTAGCAGTGAATAAAGGCTGCTACAGCTGAGAATAAACAAAATCCAAACAAAATCCAACTTGAAGTGCACTGTATTGCTCTCAGCAATAGCCCAGGTCTGAGGGCCTGATCCCAAGGAAGGACAGAAACAGAAATACATACAATTCTATTTCACTGATTAGACGAGGAATAATAAACAGGCTCCAGAAATTTTAATGAGTGGTCAGGGAGCTGAGGCACCCCAAAAAATAAAACAATAAAACAACTATTCTCATATATATAATAGAATACAACTATTCCGGACTGAGTGATGTGAAGGGTATCTGTCTGGGAATGTTTGTGTCTAGGGCAGGTGTGTGCTTAAGGTAAGGCAATCTATTTGATATTTGAGCAAGGTGGGGAAAGTGGGGAGGAAACAGATAAAAGTAGGCAGGAGAGAAGAAATTAGAGCTCCCTGTGAATCACTGAAGTTGAAAATAAGGGCTTCTCCTCTGCTTGGTTGGCTCCCTGAAGACTTCCTATTTGTTTTCTTAGTTTGCTGAAGTTAATTGGATGCAAACCACTTTTGCACTTTGAACTCAGTTTGCACCAATGAAAGTAAGCTGAGGGCAAAGGAGGAAAGTGGAAATAAGAGAGAAACTGGTCTATTAATGTAGGGTGACAGAGGATTGGGTTGTTGTACGTTTTTCGGGCTGTATGCCATGTTCTAGAAGCATTCTCTCCTGACATTTCGCCTGCATCTGTGGCAAGCATCCTCAGAGGTTGTGAGGCCAGTGATTCCAGCCACGAAAGCCTTCGACAATGACAGAGGATTATTCGGAACTATCCTTGCCAAGTTGGGACAGTTGGAGGATATGGGTAACAGTAGCATCATGTCCATGTAGCTATTTACTTACCAAACTAGCAGGCAGTGGCAACAGTGTCTCAAAAACAATTGGGGTTTGACCATGAAATTTGGGATCTGTAGTGAAATCTATACACCTTCATGTGATAGCACAACTGGAATACATAGAATAGCTATCTAATCTAATTAATTGCTCCAGTGCAAGGCAGCCAACCTCCTCAAAATTTCCTATTCACAAAGAATATGCAGGAAAGTACATGTTTGCTTTGAGGTAGAGCTTTGGAAATCACTTTTCAAAACATAATCACTGACAGTAGTCTAATCCCCAAAAGTAGAACTTTAAAGGTCAGTCACTTTCTCATTTCATGAAGTTAACTAGAATTCTTACAGTTTCTTTAAGTAGTTGTATAGCACATATATTGAAGAACTAATTATAATTAGTTATTTGTACCAAGTGAATTCAAAGGCATACTTACAGAAGAAATAAGGCCAGACCACTAGCAAGAGGAGTTGCTAGTATCACTTTTCTAAAGGAAAGAGAGCCTGCCCTAATGCACTCTGTCCTGCAAAAATGCCTTCAGGTGACCAAATACTGCAGTTACCTAAGCCCTGAGAATGATCACAAGTTATTTTATTGTCCACCTCACACCCAAGTCTTGCTGTTTTTTTATTTTTAATTAAGTGAAAGATTGTTGTCTTGGTTGCAGCAGAAAGCTAATAAAGGACTCCAAATGTGAGAGGCCTTCACATAAGAAGACTCTTTGCAACTAAAGTAGGTGTGGGGTTCTTGTGTGTTTGTGTGTGCCTTCAAGTCACCTGATAATTTATGTCATAGCATTTTCTTAGGCAAGGAATACTCAGAAGTCAGAAGTGGTTTTGGTAGTTCCTTCTTCAGAATTATCTTAATGTACACACAGGCATGTTTCTTATTTTCTTTCCTCACCCAACTCTAAAGTCAAGCCCTGTTTAATATTATAAAGATCAAAAGAAAGGAATGATTTCAGAGAGTTCCAACTGCTTTCTAATTGTGCTTCCCTGGAGCCACCTGTGTGTCCATGGCTTCATTTTTTGACAGCCCTATCAGTTTTTGGGGCTTTTAAAATGCACTGAAACAGTTCACACAGGGAGAAGGGAAGGAAAGCACGTGTTTTGCATGACTGCAGGGATATCCAGTCATGCAAAGGTGTACATTTTTGGGGCGGAATAGGGTTTTAAGCAGACCTTTTAAGGATGGTTTTCTGCTGTTAACCCGATTCTGCCCACACTTTGGCTAAAGGCCATTTAACCCCCCCCCCTTCCTTTATCCTGGTTTCTTTTGGGTTTTTAGCCATGTGCAGAAGGGCCCCTAGCCTCTGGTTGGAAAAAAAGCAGAATACTGGAAAAATAAGCATTAATTAAAAAAAATCCAGAATGATCCATCAATCAATATCCTTTCCCAACAACAGACCAGCTTCAATGGCAATGTGCTATTTAAATAGCTTTTTCCTAACAGTGGGAGGCCAGCAGTGAGGGGTCTGACCCAGCTTCTATTTTTAAAGACTGTAATAAACAATCAGTAACTAAAAAAGACAGAGAGGTACTGTAAGGCATGAGTGGAAATGCCTACTGTGGGAACAGGTTTTATAGTGTGCACTCCAAGGAATAAATGAGTAGGCAAATGGACTGTTGTGGCTAACACTCAGCATGGCCTAAGAGATCTTGTGGCCACAGGGAAATGAGAGGGAAATGCTGCAGCTCAAATAACATGCAATATCCGTTTCTTCCAATCCATTCTCTCTCATACCAGCTGGAAGCAGTGCTCAAACGAATTTTCCCATGTGAGCATCAGACATAATAGTTGTGGAAAGGAGAGATCTGAAAACCAGTGTAAAGTTTGTCTAAGTGTCCTACATCTGATGCATTACCTTCATAACATCCCCTGATTGAACCATTTCATCATAGTTATGTTTAAAAGATAACCTGCAGTGGGGTAGCAAACAGGATTATTTCCGCCTGCGATAATCTTCCTCTCTTCCTCCAATAATGACACCACAAAGACAATGACTGTGGTGATGCTGTTCTTTCTCCCTCTCTCTTTCAGGAGAAATGTTGATATTCTTGTCAGCAGTAACTGGTTTAGCCCCTCGTCAGATTATAGGGAAGAGAAGAGAGACTACAAAGGGCCTGCAAGGATGCCCCTCAGATAATCCCCTCCTCAGCCTGGCCTGACACCTGCACCTGTTCAATTCCCCAACAGCATTAGTGTTCAAACAGGATTAAATCCAGCCTGCAAATTACATGAGGTTTGAACATCAGTGCTCAAGCCCAAGACAGTCTGAGCATTATGTGGATAAATGAGAGGCACCCATGGCAGACTAGAGTTCCAGTTGTTCCAGTATAATAATAATCATCATCATCATCATCATCATCTGCATCATCATCTGCCTCTCCTTGTGGCTCGAGGTGGATTACAGAATAATTAAAACACATAAACATTATAAAAATACCACAAATACACATATTGAAATGTATTTCTATAAGATACATATTAAAACGCATTTCTATAAGATACATATTAAAACATATTTCTATAAAATAGATATTAAAATAGACAAAACAGAGATTATACAAAAGACACACGTTCAAAATTCATGTCTAAAGGCTAGCTGGGTAGGCCTGCTGGAAACGATAGGCCTTTAGATGGTTTTAAAATTCCAACAGCTCATTTAGCTGCTGGAGCTCCTTCGGTGGGTCATTCCCGAGTCTTGGGGTGGCTGATAAAAAGGTCCTGAGGGTGACGGTTGCCAGTCAGGTTCTGGCTGGTTGGAGCAGACGCCCGCTCAGAGGACTTAAGTGTTCAGGGCTGATTGTATGTGAGAAGGCAATCCAGGAGGTAAAGCAACCCAAACCAAATAGGGCCTTAAAGGCCAAAACCAACATCTTGTACTTTGCCCGGAAACGAACTGGCAGTCAGTGGAGTACTTTAGGATAGGCGTAATATGCTCACTGCTAGATGTTCCTGTGACCAGTCTGCCTTACGTATTTTGCACCAACTGAAGTTTCCGAACTTGGTACAAAGATAGCCCACTATAAAGTCCAACCTTGAGGTTACTAGTGCGTGCACTGCCATCTTAAGATCCTTCAAATTTAGGAAGGGGCGCAGCTAAAGCTCAGTAAAATCACACAAACCATACTGTGCATACAAAGCCTCAATGCTGAACCTATTGTTGCTCCAAAATGAGGTCAAGTAAATGGACATTTCCTTTCAAGGCATTAGCCCCAGCAAACAAGTGCGGTATTTCCTTGGCTCTCAGGAAACTACAAAAAAGGGCTTCACCTGATCTCAGAATGATTTGAGACAATTGGACGAAAATGAACAGGGAGCATTCCCTCTGCAGAGCTGAGCTAGAACTGATTTCAGTCTGATGACTTTAGACAACTTGAACAAGAAATCACTGCTGTCAGTATCATAGAATCATAGAATCATAGAATCAAAGAGTTGGAAGAGACCTCATGGGCCATCCAGTCCAACCCCCTGCCAAGAAGCAGGAATATTGCATTCAAATCACCCCTGACAGATGGCCATCCAGCCTCTGTTTAAAAGCGTCCAAAGAAGGAGCCTCCACCACACTCCGGGGCAGAGAGTTCCACTGCTGAACGGCTCTCACAGTCAGGAAGTTCTTCCTCATGTTCAGATGGAATCTCTCTCTTGTAGTTTGAAGCCATTGTTCCGCGTCCTAGGAAGCAGAAAACAAGCTTGCTCCCTCCTCCCTGTGGCTTCCTCTCACATATTTATACATGGCTATCATATCTCCTCTCAGCCTTCTCTTCTTCAGGCTAAACATGCCCAGCTCCTTAAGCCGCTCCTCATAGGGCTTGTTCTCCAGCCCCTTGATCATTTTAGTCGCCCTCCTCTGGACACATTCCAGCTTGTCAATATCTCTCTTGAATTGTGGTGCCCAGAATTGGACACAATATTCCAGGTGTGCTCCAACCAAAGCCGAATAGAGGGCTAGCATGACACTATGCTCCTATTGATGCAGGCCAAAATCCTGTTGGCTTTTTTTGCTGCCACATCACATTGTTGGCTTATGTTTAACTTGTTGTCCACAAGGACTCCAAGATCTTTTTCACATGTACTGCTCTCAAGCCAGGCATCCCCCATTCTGTATCTTTGCATTTCATTTTTTGCCAAAGTGGAGTATTTTGCATTTGTCACTGTTGAACTTCATTTTGTTAGTTTTGGCCCATCTCTC